ATCACTTCATCTCGACTCACTAATCGGATTCATTTCATCATAAAATTTTAATTAAAGAATGAATTAATTATTTCTTTTCGTAACAATAATAATAATAATAATAATAATAAAAGGAAGAAACTAAACCGACCGACATCCATGTTAACAAGACGAAGAAAAAGAAAAAAAAAAAATTAAAAGAAAGGGAATAAGAAAGGGGGGGGGGAAACTTGAGAAACGGTTTTCCCTACCATTCAACAAGTGTCACCGTCGTTTCATCGAATATATAACACACACAATTATCCATCTATCCCTCCCCCACCCCCATTTCCGGTTTCATGCAATTCCCATAGAGTAATAAAAAAAAAAAAAAAAATCAAAAATATTCACATGAGAACCACCTTCGCGTTCGCAACTTTCCACACACGCACACACACACACGAAGTCATCATAATTATTATTATTATTATTATTACGGCAGCATCAGTAAAGCAAAAGAAAAGACGAAGCGGCAGCGGCGGGGGGGGGGAAGAAAATACGAGGCGGCAGCGCTCGGAAGAGGGGGGGATCCCAAAAGGTAAAAGGCATCAAAGTTTTCTTCCTTTCTTCCTCCCCACCTAAATCCGCCCTCCGCCCCCCCCCCAACCTTCGTTTTCCTCATCGTATATCGACTATTATTATTGTTATTTTATTTCAAGTTACTAATAAAGTAAAAAAAAAAAAAAAAAAAACTGTAGTGATTAATAATAATAATAATTAATAATAATAATAATAATAATAATAATAATAATAATAATAATAATAATAATAATAATAATAATAAATAAAATAAATCGTAAAATAAAAAAAAAAAAAAAATGCGGCAAACTTGCAAATAATATTATTATTAATAATGATAATGAACCAGCGAAAAATTATTATATATATATATATATATAATAAATCAACAAAACGTAAACTTAAAAAATTAATAATAATAATAATAATAATAATAATAAATTTTGCAAAAAAAAAAAAAAAAAAAAAGAAAAAAACAAAATTTTATTTTCACTGTCGGCATAGAGAATTTAATAAAAAAAGAAAAAAGAAAAAAAAGAAAATTTTTTTTTATACACAGGATAGCTTTTAGGGACTTACCCTGCGGCGTTATTTGTTTAATAATTACATTCCCTGTCGTTTGAGACCCGAAGATAGAGAGAAGGTAGTTACGAGTCAGCCCCCATATTTTTTTTTTTTTTTTTTTTTCGCAACCCAATTTTTTCACGCCAAAGAAAATATTCCAACAGAGAAGAAGAGTGTGCCATCAGATATATAATTATCAATCGAGAGAGAGACAGAGAGAGACAGAGAGAGAGTGAAAGAGAGAACAAATAAAGAACGTATTAGACATCGACAACAACAACAACAAAAAAAAAAAAAAAAAAGTGTCGTGTAGTAGTAATAGTAAACAATTTACAAAAAAAAAAAAAAAAATTCAACAATAATAATAATAATAATTGTAAGTGATAATAATAATAATAATAATAATAATGAAAACAGGAAATACAATAAATAATATTAATAATGATAATGATAATTTTGAAAAAAATAAAAATTAATTTTTTCTCTCGCTTCCGATTTTCCGAAATCGTCGTGAAAAATTATTTAAAATTATTATTCGCGCGGGAAAATGGGAAAGAGAAAGTGAGGCAGAGAGACAGAGAGAGAGAGAGAGAGAGAGAGAGAGTGAAAGAAAAGTAACGGAAAAATAGGAACTAACTGTTTCCGCTTCACAATCGCAATAGTAATAACTGACCTTTAAAAATCTTATTTAAAAAAAATAAATAAATAAGTAAAATAAATGCAGTTATTAAGGAGCCTCTTTGAATTTCGCGGGGGGGGGCAAATAATAATAATAATTTTTTTAAAATTAAAGTTCCATAAATGCAGACTGTAAAAAAGAATTCTACCCGAGCGGAAAAACCGATGTGTCAACGTGAAAATCATCTTTTCACATTTTCCAACGGAATAATAATAATAATAATAATAATAGATTTAACGACACGTATGCAAGATTAAAAATTATCGTGCATGAAGAAAAACCGTCTAAGAAAAACCACCACCATCACGAAAAATGCACGACTCTGAAAAGTTTTCTTCTGCTTTTTAATGACGTAACAATACAAAAAAAAAAAAAAAAAAAACAAACAAATCACATTTTTTTAAAAAAAATAAAAACAAGGGTAGCATGGTAATAAAATTTAATAATAATAATAATAATAATAATAATAATAATAATAATAATAATAATAATAATAATAAATAATATTTAAAAAAAGGTAGAAATGTTTTTACAGTCATGCATTATGAAAAAAATTAAAAAACAAAAATAAAATCATGGACGATTCAAGTGACCTAAAGAAACAACAATAAAACCCGAAAACGAAAATCCGAGTCATTTAAACAGTAATAATAATAATAATAATAATAATAATAATAATAATAATAATAATAATAATAATAATAATAATAATAATAATAATAATAATGACAGTATTGGTACTCGTACTAGTAGTAGTGATAGCAATCGATAAAATATTAATATTGAAAATTTGCATTGAAACCTACCGCGAAGAAAACAAAAGAAGAAAGAGGGAGAGCAGGAGGAAGAGGAGGAGAAGGAGGGGAGGGAAGTGAAAGAGAGGAGAGCAAAAGAAGAAGACTCGAAAATCAAAAACAGTGAACGAACGATAAAATAAAATAAAAAAAAAAGTATCTGGAAGTAATGTATATGTATATAAAACTGTAACACAAAACAATAAAAATCGACAACGAAAAAAAAAGAAGATAATAATAATAATAATAATAGTAATAAAAAGAATGATAATAATAATAATAATAATAATTGAAAGTTTGAAAGAAACATATACATATGTGTGTGTGTGTCTGTGTGTATAAAATCCGACGACAGAAATAGAAAAAGTAAGAGAGAAGTAGATAGATAGATAGACGACAGGTAAGTCAATTAAGTAATACAGGTATATGAATAAAAAGTAGTAGTAATAATAATAATAATAATAATAATAATAATAATAATAATCAAAGAGCGAAAAGTACATTCACGTAGCAAGAGAGAAGAAAAAGAAAATAAGCAAATTTCAATAAAGTATACAAGTACACGCAAACGCAAGCACGCACACGCACAACAAAATATGCGTAACAAAATATAGACGGCGACGACGCACACGCACAAGAATACTCCATGTGCGTGTGTGCGTACACGTGTGCTTACACGCGTGCGTGCGTGCGTGCGTGTACAATATTCGCAAATATATTTAATTTGTTTTTTTTTTTTTTTTTTTTTTTTTTTCAAAGTAATCAAATCATGTATGAAAAATTATGGATAATAATAATAATAATTATAATAAAAAATTTGTAATATTAAATAAATAAATAAATAAATAAATAAAAGAAATTCTTACCGTCTGTCCGATCCGGAGTCAAACCCGCGTTAATATATAATTAAATAGAAAGAAAAAAAAAAAAAAGTAATAATAATAATAATAGAAAAAAATTTCAAAATCTATTTTTTTTTTTTTTTTTTGTTATGGTGGACATGTGTAAAATGTATTTGAGAATGATGTATGTGACGTCATAATACATATTATGACATATAATATGCGCGTGTATGAGTGTTGTTATGCGTGGATAGCGAGTTCAAAAGGAAGCCGCGGGTGGGCGGGCGGTCGCGCGCGCGGGAAAATTCAAATTTCATTTCGTTAAATTTTTTTAAGAGAGAGAGAGAGAGAGAGACGGTACACACTTATGTATGCTGATGGTATTCTACGGATTGTATTGATAAACAATATATATATATATTTAGAAATCGATTAAACCGACGTTATTTATTTTAACAAGGATTTCTCCCCCCCCCCTCCGACCCGTTCTTAATAGGGTTTTTTTTTTTTTTTTCGTGGTATTAGATTGAAAGATTTTTCAATGACTAGACGAATTTTTACGATACGAAATCGAGGATTTAATAAATCCTCCCGTTTGAAAAATAAAGATAATAATAACAAAAAAAAAAAAAAAAACAAAATTCGAAAGGGCAAAACTTTTAGGGGGGGCGGGAAAACAAGAAACTTAGTAACTTCCGGTTCATTTCGCGAGACATTTTTCCAGCGCGTCCACGCCAAACTTTTGCACATTTTTTCAATACGAAACTTTTAATTCTTTCAAATCCTTTCCAACTTCTTTTAAAGTTACGAGGGGGGGGGGAAAACAAACGTGGCGGCATTTTACTCCTCATCCTTTCATTTCTCCCCATTTCCCCTCCCCGTTCCTATAGTTTAATGTCCCCCCCCCGGACGGCGGCGCCGATAGAAAAAACAATATTCAAATTTCTTTAATGGCCTCGTGACCCAAATTTTTTTTTTCTTTTTTTTTTAAAATTCAAATGACGCGCGCGCTCGTGTGCGTATTCTCTCTCTCTCTCTCTCTCTCTCTCTCTCGCACACTCGTTTGTCTATATGCGTGTGTGTGTGCGTGTGCGAATTTTAATTACGAAATTTTTTAATTAAATCAGAAAAAAACCCTTCGCGACATCTCGTCGTCGTCGTCGTCGTTCCTCCCTTTTCTCTCTTTCCGCTCCTAGTTTCGCGTCCTTTTGAACTCGCATGATATAATATTCATAAATAAATAATTAAATCAATCAATCAATCAATCAATCAATCAATCAATCAATCAATGATTGAAAAAAAGTAATAATAATATAAAATAATAATAATATTTAAAAAAAAAAAAAAAAATTTTTTTTTTTTTTTTTGCTTTCTCAAAACCGTGGAAAAACCTTTTTCTTTTTTCTTGCTTTTCCACTGTTTCTTTTTTTTTTTTTTTTTTTTTTTTTTTTTTTTTTTTAAATAAAACTTATGCAATAATAACAGCGAAAGAAAGAAAGAAAGAAAATTTTTTTTAAAAAGAAAATTGCATCGATGAATAAAATATAAAGGAGAGAGAAAAAAAAAAAAATAATCGAGTCTTACCTTCTTCGAGGTTGTCATCACCATCGGACATGAGCTCATCATCGGAGCATATATTAAGGACGTTGACTAACATCTCAGTAACTGCGACGTGAATAACGTGGAAACAGAAAAGAAAAGAAAAGAAAAAAAAAAACAAAAAATTATTTTAGACAATTGACAACAAACTACTTCCGGAAGTAGTAAAAAAAAAAAAATGGCCTCCAATGGACGATGGCGGCACATATTCGTAATAATTAACCCCTCATTTTCCCCCCCCGCCCCTCGGTACCCGTTATCATCATCATCATCATCATCATCGTAATTCTCACCTTTTTCACCTACGAATGGCAAACTCCACGTGAAGACATCCATGAAATTGGGTAACCAATAAGGGTGAGGAGAACAATTGAACTGCCTTATGTTCATAACGTTGTTCTCGTATTTTAAAACGGCCGCTTTATTGTTGTACACGTCCAGGTAATTTGGAGCTGAAAATATTGTGATGAGTGACGGAAATCCTGTTGTTTGACTTTTCCTATACATTCGATATCTGCAACGTCATCAAATCGTTTATTATTTTTTTTTATTTTTTACTTCCCAATTGACGACGCCGACGCCGCCTCCGCCTCCCGCCTACTCCTACTCCTACTCACCCTGCATCTTGTGCTTCGTGTGCTCGTATTATGGACAATAAATTATTGTTTTGAAGAAAATCGCAACATGCCGCATACGAGTAAAAATATGAACAACCTCGCACCGAATTGTGACTGAAGTGCTCGGTATTGTTTTCGTTTCCAAAATCTTCTAACGGATCCGACCATAATAGATCGCACATGGGCCCGAACGCGGGCGGTTCCTTAAATCTGTCCAACTGTAAACAAATAAGAAAAAAAATAATAACAATAATAATGATAATAAATTCCGTAAGGTAAACGTAAAATAATTATTGTTTAAAAGTAAAAGTAAAGGAGTTCCTTCCATTATTACCCCGTATAAATAAATGGGATATAATAAAACGCGGGGGGGGGGCTTAAAAAAAATTTTAGAAAAAAGTTTTTGAAAACTTAAAAGCGCTGTAAATTTCACAACCGCACTACGAACAGAAGAGGAGAGAGAGGGAGAGAGAAAGAGGGGTGAAAATAAGAATGAGAGAGAGAGAGAGAGACGAAGCGAAAAAATATTAAATCAACGGTAACACCCGACCCCCCCTCCCTCCGTCGCGGTGATCAACGTTTCCGCCGCATTTCAAATTTATGAACAATATTAACGATGATAATGATGATAATTCTTCTACTTTTTCACCTCCCCCCCTTTCCCTGTTCATCATTTTTTAATTTCTCATATTTATCTGTCGAGGAAGAAAGAGAAAGAGAGAGAGAGAGAGAGAGAGAGAGAAAAAAAGAAAAGAAAACAATAATGAAAACGATGAAAAAAAAAAAACCCCGACAGGAAAACGGAAATCGCGAATCCTTTTTTTTTTCCGCCGCCATTTTTTTTTCTTTTTCTTCTCGTTTTCCTTTTCATTCGAAATTAAAGTTCACGTGACACTCTGACACTCAAATTCTTTTTTTCCGAAAGAAAAAGAAAAAGTGAAAGTAAAAGTGAAAAAAAAGCGAATAAAAAAATTTTTTAAAGTTGGACAAAATCGAACAAAAAAAAAAAAAAAAAAAAGAAAAAAAGAAAAGTTTTCACTCGTCGCGCTTTCCATTCGTTTTCATTTTTTTTTTCTTCTTCCACGACTGATTCGATTCTCGATATTCCCGACGTTTTTTTTTTCTTCTTCTCCTTTTACCTTTTCCTTTTGTTTTCCGCTTCATTTCCCGCATTAATAATAATAATAATAATAATACAAACAATTAATAAAATCAAAAATTACTGCAATACGTCACTGTCCCCCCTTTTCCCTTTCCCCTTTCCTCTTCCCCCTCCCTTCGAGCAACAACTTTTCTAAACCACAAATCATTTAAAAAAAAAAAAAAAAAAAAAAAAATTAAACGACATTTTTTAACGGGAGAGAAAAAAAACGTTATTAATTTTTATTTTCCTAATGACAAGTGATCGATGAAGTCAAAAAAGGAAAAGAAAAAAGGATAGGAAGGATTAAAAGGAACAAAAAGAGAGAGAGAGAGATAAAAGATGTGAATAAGAAAAATTTTTTCGATTTTTCCCAAAAAGATAACAAAAAAAAAAAAAAAAATTAAATAAATTACATCTTCTTGTTAAAATGTATAGTTTTAATCAAAATTCACGATAAGTTACCCTCCCTCTCCCCTCCCCTCCTCTTCCCCCGATAAGAAACGAAAAATTGCAAAATTGGGAAGAATAAGAAGAAAAAGAAGATAAAGAAAAAGGGAAAAAAAAAATTTCCCTCACGAAAATTACCGGAAAATCGCGGATACGTTTTTTCAAACGAAAAAAAAAAATCATTTTTTTCTAATGCCACGACCGAGAATTTTCATATAGAATTTCCAATCTTTCAAATCAGTCAAAGCGATTCGCAAAAAAAAAAAAAATTTGTTTTTTTTTTTTTTGTTGGCAACTCGAGTATTTTGATATGCCAATTGGCTCCACGTCCAATTTTTTTTTTTTTTTTAATGACAGGTGGAAAAATTAAATTATTTACGAATTTCTTCTTCTCCTTCTTCTTCTTCTTCTTCTTCTTCTCCTTATTTCCTTTTCTTCTCGCGTAAAAAAAAAAAAAAAATTTATTTTATCGAGGAACCCAGAGATCCACCAATCAGAGATGTCGAATCTTTATAAAACTTTAAGAAAAACGATGCGATTGGTCGATCGAAATTCAATTAATCATTTTAATCTTCGGATTACGAACAGACGTGGAACGTCCGAACTTAAAACCACTTTCGACTTTTATCCTTTTCTCTCCCCAAATGTTTTCTTATCCTGTCGGGTATCCCGACCCGACCCGACCCGACCCGATCCGATCCGACACGTGGATTTAGACAATTCAATCAACGACGAGTAAACTAAACGAAACGTAATCCAACAATTAATTTACTTTTATTAATAATTTTTTTCATTTTTTTTTTATAATCCAGATTAACCAACAAACGAACAACAAAAATTTGAACGTGATTTTTCTATCTTCTGCTCTCTCTCACTCTCATCCTTCCACGACGAGGGAAAAACTTTAACGAAAATGATAATAATAATAAGTATAATTTTTCAAAGAATTTTTTAAATTTTCAATCGTTCTCGCCGAACCTGAATCAACCAATTTTCACAAAAAAAAAATTAACGAACCCCGACAACAAAAATCGCGTGAGATTTTTAAAGTGTCAAAAGAAAAAAAAAAAAAAAAAAAAAAAACATGCGATTCGAAAAAAGGATTTTTTTTTTTAAGAAAAGAGAGTTTTCGACAAACAAACGGGCCAAGGTTCTGAAGGTAGGTAGGAAGGAATTGAATTCAAGTGGAAGAGAGGAGGGAGGAGGGGGGGGCGAAGTTGAAAAAAAATTCTTAGAAAACTTCCACGTGGTTCGCCACCATCGCGAAATTCTTCTTCCACGTCTTCGACGTTCATCTCTTTGAAAAAAAAAAAAAACGATTTCGACTACTGCCACGACTTTTCTTATTGGCGATTCATCCATCATCGTTCGACAATCATTTAACGACAGGAGCAGCGGCAGCAGCAGCAGCAGGAGCAGGAGCACAAATAACGACAGAAAAAACTAATTAAATAATTTATTACGCACACATTTAATCGTGTAATCGTCGAACGAACCGATACGGCGAACGTCATAAACGTACGCTTCGCTCGAAATCGAGTCGGCCGCCATATTGAAATCGCATTTTTTTTTTTTTTATCATTCGCCAGGAAAATTTTTTTATTTTCTTTTTTATTTTTCCACGTTAAAAATTTAATTTATAAAGTAATAAAAAAAAAAAAAAAAACCCGTAAACGCATTCGACTTTTAATAATAATAATAATAATAATAATAATAATAATAATATTAACGATGATGATGATGATGATGATAATAATATTAATAATAATCGTAACGTATTTATTTGCATATACAACCCATTACTTTATTATTATTATCGTCATTATTATTACTTTTTCTCTCTCTCTCTCTCTTTTTCTTTCTTTCTTTCTTTCTTCCTTTTAAAATCCACGACACGAAAACTTTTCAGACTATACTAAAAAAAAAAAAAAAAAACCACTCTTACGATAACCACATAAAATTTCACCTTTTTTCTCCCCACCCTCTTCCTCCTCCCCCCGTTCGAAAAGAAAAAGAGAAAAAAAACGCTTTCGCGCGACAAAATCAATATTCCGTCTCTCTCTCTCTCTCTCTCTCTTTCTCTTATCAACAGGTACGATTCTTTTCAAAACCTACCCTAATCTTTCCCCGAATTTTTTTAAACGTGAACGTTCGATCCATAAAAAAAAAAAAATAATAATAATAATAGTTATAACGATAATAAATAAATTTAAGTTTTTTTTTTTTTGTGCCAAGTTCTGCCGCGGACTGATTCAGTCGGGGGGGGGGGGGCATGCCGCCCCCCCGATCGTTTCCCTGTCACGATAAGAAAAGTAAGAAAGAACAGTAGTTTTTTTTTTTTTTTTAAAGGGGATTTCGTGCAAACAATTCAAAATAAAAAAAAAACAAACGCCCTCCCTTAACCAAACCCTCCCAACTCTCCTCCTCCTCCTCCTCCCTTTAAAAAAATCGTGTAATATTTAAATTTACCAAGGGGGAGAGAGAGAGGGGAGGGGGAAAGAGAAAGAGAGGGAAAGAGAGAGAGAGAGAGAGAAAATGGAAAACTTTTTAATACGTAAATAAATAACGCGAACAACGTTTCAACTCCGTCATCGATTAACGTTTTTTTTTTTTTTTTTTTTTTTTTTTTTTTTCCGAGCAACTGAGTTTTTCTTTTCTTTTTCTTTTTCCTATACGTTTCCTTCCGCTTTTCTTTTACCCCGATTTCGAGAAAATGTGTCGAAACCTCGCGTGAAAAAAAAAAAAAATGTCACGAACGGTTAAAAACAAAAACACTACCCCCAACACCACCACCACCAACCCCCCGAAACAATAATAATAAATTACAAAAAAAAAAAATAAAAGAGTTTGGAGAAAAGAAAGAGAAAGAGAGAGAGAGAGAGAGAGAGAGAGAGAGAGAGAGAGAGAGAGTGAAAATTCATTACAGGACCGCCATCATCCTTAAATTACAACCTCGAACTCAAACTCGTTTCAGTGAGAAAAAAAACTTTTCCAACGAGAAAACCCAATTTTCTTTTTTTTTTCTTTTTCCTTTTTTATTGATCTGGACCCGGAGTAAACTTTATCTCTTTGGGTAATCATTTACCGAGAAAAAGAAGAAGAAAAAAAAAAAGAAGGAGGAGGAGGAGGAGGAAGAAGAGGAAGAGGAGGAGTAGGAAAAAAAAACGCGCGCCATTTTTCACTTACGTGTAAGTTTCCATCAAAATCTTTTCCCTCCCTCCCCCGCTGTCTCCTTAATTTTATTTCTTCCTCTTCTTCTCTCTTTCTCTTCTTTCTCTCTTTCTTTATTCCTACTTTCGATTTATGTTTTCAATTTGACCCTTCAAATACCTTCGCGATTCATCCATCCGTTTGTAAAATCCATTAAACGTTTTTGACCCTCTTTTTTTTTTTTTTTTTTTTCGAACGTGCCGTTTAATAAATAACGGAAATCATTTGTTTCGGTTTTTTTTTTTTTTATACTCAATTTCTCCGTCTTCTTTCTATTTCTTTTTAGAACTTTTGTTTTCGAGAAACAGAGAAAGAGAGAGAGAGAGAGAGAGGGATGGGGGGCAAACCAAAAAAATTATAACAGAAATATTTAAAGAATTTTTAATGCGCATAAAGAATAATTTGAATTTTTCTAGAAATTTCCAAGAAAGAAATTTAAAATTATTTACAGATTGTCAGGAAGAGAGAGAGAGAGAGAGAAAAAAAGGAACGGGGTAGAAAGAAAGAGAAAGAGAGAGAGAGAGAAAAAAAAAGGAACGGGGTAGAAAGAGAAAGAGAGAGAGGATACAGAATGTGATAATTTTTAATGAAAATTGAAAACACGAGAGATGCCGCCGAAATGGCGGTAAAAACCTTTTTTGCCCGAAACCTTTTCTCCTCCTCCTCCTCCCCCCCCGAATCTGGTGGAAAAGCGATAAAAATTTATTTTATTTTTATCATTGCATCTTACTCGGCATCTCGTCAAACAATTGGATTTTCCGTTTTCCTCACCCCTCACCATTTCCGCCACACCGTCCCTCATCCTTCCTTTTTCCTTCCCCCTCCCCCTCTCGCATAATAAAATACGTTAAATTTAACCTACCGGCACTAAATCCTTAAAAAAATTACATTTTTATTTTTATTTTTGTAAACTCATTAACCCCACATTTCCCTCCCTCCCCCACCAAAAAAAATGATTATGATTATTATTATTATTATTATAAATTATGCCTCATTAATTAAATATAATAATAATAATAATAGTAGTACGTAATATGGGAACGTGAAAGCAATATTTTTTGAATGCTAATTACGTTTCAACCCTTACAAAATTCTCACACCCTTTAAAACCTTTACCGACATTTAAAATCTAAACAACTTTCACTTTTTCAACCTTTACTCTTCGCCCCCCACCCCTTCCTTCCATCTTCTTTTTTTCCCCACTTCTCTCTCTCTCTCTCTCTTTGTTTTTTTAAAATTCGAAATTTCTTTACTCACCCTCCTAATATCATCTAGATTGTGTATTTCTGGTGAAAGTCCGCCGTGAACACATAGGAATTGTTGGTTCATGAGAGCCGCCAATGGCAAGCAATCGAAAGCCTCCATACACGCTTCATACACACGATCACTATATTTTATTTTACCTGAAACATTTGAAAATAAATATATAAACCTTTTTGGGAAAATTAATCGCTCGTCACGAACGCCGACGCTACTTTCGATAACAAACAATAACAAACAATAACAAACACGATAACAAACACAAAAAAAAAATTTTTGAAAACGTTACTTTCGTTTAATACCCGATATTGTAAAATTTTCGTGGGATTTACCCCCCCCCCCATCGTTTTCCCGTACTTTGACGACAATTTTCCCTCCCCTCTTCTCCCCTCCTTATTTATTAAAAATAATAATAATAATAATAATACTCACACTCTTGTTTAAATGTGAAATATTCCGTAAGGTGTCTACATTCGTGGTTTCCACGTAGCAAATACAGTGTAAACCGATGACATAACTTTAACGCCCATAAATACAGCACACACTGGAAAAGAAACAAAAAAAAAAAAAAATTAAATATTAATAATAATAATAATAATAATGATAAAAATCCGTTATCGATTCGAATGACCAAAAGCTCCCCTGGGTGGGAACGGGAAGGGGGGGGCGAGAATCTCGAGAACAAAAAGGGGAAAAACTTTTACGGTAAATTAAAATTTTTGAAGGCCACAAAAAGAAATTCCAATTTATTTCTACCGCTAAAAAAAAAAAAAATCGTCGGTCGTCACTTCCGGTAAAGATTTTCCGGAAAAATGGAAAACAAGGTCAAAGGTCTCTTTAAAAATTTTTTTTTTTTTTTTTTTTTTTAATGCTCAACGCAAAGTTTCCAAAAGACGAACAAAAAAAAGTTAAAAATAATGTTTTCCTTTTGAGGGGAGGGGGGAAAAAATGACAAGCGAAAGAAAAGAAATAATAATAATAATAATAATAATAATAATAATAATAATAATAATAATAATGATGATAATAATGATAAACAAAAACAAATAATAAAAAGTCCCTTATTTAAAATTTTCAACGCTCCGTACAACTTCGAAAACCCGTCGAAATTTTGATTGATAAACGTTTTTTGTCACTGGTGACACGTTAAAATTTTTTTTTCTTTTTTTTAAAGAAGAAAAATTAAAAAAAAAAAAAAAAAAATTTTTTTTTCTCTTCCGAAATGTATGTGCATGAATGTAAAAAGTTTTCTTTCCTTTTTCTTTTTCTTTTTGGGGAGGGGGAAGAGGGAGGAAGGAAGGGGAAAGGGAGGGAGCAAAATAACTTTCGTCAATTTTAATAAAAAAAAAAAAAAAAAAAAAAAAAAAAAAGATGGATAACTCGATCATATATACTTGCCTCTATACTAAAATACCCTCGGTCGACGTAATCTCCTAAGAAAAGGTACTTTGTAGTGGCGGGAGATCCCCCGACTTCGAATAACTTCATGAGATCGTAAAACTGACCGTGGATATCCCCACATACTGGAAAAAAAAACAATAACAATGATAATAATAATAATAATAATAATAATAATAATAATAATAATAATAATAATAATAATAATAATAATAATAATAATGTTAATTAAACCTTTTCTTTTTTTCGGTTTTCTTATATCGATTTCTACACTCATTTGCGATTTAATTGAAAATCTCTCTTTCTCTCTTTCTCTCTCTCTCTCTCTCTTCCCCCCCCTTTGCATCTTAAATTATTTTTTTTCGTGTAACCCAAAACATGGAGCACACAAAAACAAATACTGCCCCGAAGCAGTTTTATAATTTTTATTCGAATTTAATTTAAATGATGAAAATGTTTGAAAAAACGCACACACACGCACACACATGTACGCTCGGGGAGGGGGAAGGGATGGAGAGTCACGTTTAAAATCATTTTTCTTTTAAATAAATTATACTCAATAAAATTTTAATATGGTAATTAATATGGTTCGATTACTAATAAATAATTATTTAACTTGTTTTAATACGGAGGGAAAAAAGAAAAAAAAATGAAGCCTCCGGTCTTTCTTTTTTCTTTTTTGTTTCCCCCCCTCTCCCCCCGGGAAATTTTTTGATAAAATGTTTTCTCAAGTTAAAAGGTCGTGTAATATGTACCAGAAACGAAACCTTCCGGGTTAAAAAAAAAAAAAAAAAAAAAAAATTCGTGATTCGAAAGAAAAGAAAAATTTTAATGATGGTAATATTGAAACTCTGTAATTTTTTAAGAAGCGGTTTTCCCCCCAAAACACATCCGGTTTAAAAATAAAATTTTTTCATCTTGAACACGATACCCGCGAAAAAAAAATAAAAAAAAAAAAATAATAATAATAATAATAATAATAAAGATGGCGGCAAATCGACGAGGAGAGGAGAAGAAAAAAACAATTTTTTTTTTTCAGATGAGAAAATCATAAAATTTAACTATAACCTCCCTCCTCCTTTTTCTTACCTCCCCCGTTTCCCCCCCCCCGCGAAAAATCCCCCTTAAATCGAATTCGACAATTTTTTTTTTTTGTAAAATATAAAAAAAAAAAAAAAAAGTTAGCTTTAATATTTAAATTATTTTCTCTTTCCATTCAACCTTTTTGCTCCCGTTTCTCCCCCCCTTTCCATCCCCTCCCCCCGTCATTTTAATAACAAAGCTTTTTTAATCCGTCGTTAAAAAATAATAATGATGATGATGATGATAATAATAATAATAATAATAAAATTTTCCTTCAACGAAAAGCGTACTTAAAACCGCGAATCAAAGTGAATTAAAGTTTCGCTCGAAAGGGGCTCCAACGACGAATGAAGGAAAATTTCACCGCCGGTGGAAATCGGAAAATCAAAAGGAGAAGAAAGTGATGATAATGATAATAATGATAGAAACGATGGAAATCCGAACGAGTATCACTCGTACACCGAGAATTCCAGGTGAAAAACAAAAGGAACGAAAAAGACGGTTAGCCCATTTTCTTCTTGCGTATTATGAATACAAAAAAACCGGAAATAGTTATAACCTTTCGTCGCGATACGAACGACGGCAACGAGTTTTTCTGCGAATCCAAGTCCACTTTAGAAATGTAATAACCTCCTGAGAATCTAGGGAAAATCAATAAATAAAACACACACACACACACACACACACACACACACGCAAAATAAAACTCATTTTTAAACATTTTCCAAAACAAACTTTGACGGAGTGCGAGAGAAAGAGAGAGAGAGAGAGAGAGAGAGAGGTAAGAGAAATCACGAATCAATTTATTTTCTCTCTCTCTTTCTCTCCTCGTGAATTTCGAATAAATTTAAAAGTCTACAAAAAATTAATATACTTTCACTGGAGAGAAGAAAAGCAGGAAAAAAAAAAAAGGTATTTTCGATTTTAATTAAACTTTATCTACCACCACCGTCCGGGAAAACGAATAAAATTCAAAAAAAATCCAAGAACCGAAATCAATGATGCGGTAATACAAAAGACCGGAAAGAGAGAGAGAGAGAGAAAAAACATTCTTTGATGCAAACTTTTTTTTTCCATCTTCGTCTGCCTCACTCTCTCTCTCTCTCTCTCTCTCTTTTGTTCCAGAGAAAGACGAGTTTACAACGCGAAAAAAAAACCAAAAACACGATATTTTTCTAAATCATTTACCTACTCCTCCTCCCACCCCGAGAGTCTCCCGTCAAAAATCCCCCCTTGTCCAGAGATTAAATATAAATAAACAAACAACGCACGCGCGCACCCACACACTTCCAAATAAAATTATAAATAAAATAAAAAGTTAAATTTTTCAACCATTTTTTTTTCAACGAATCCTTTTTGTCAGGACCGAATCCCTTCAGTTTTTTTTTCACGCTCCGACCTCCGACCTCTGACCTCCCCCCATCGCTTTCCAATTAATTCTTCGCAATGACGATGATGATGATGATGATGATTACAAAAACCCCTTATTCCTTTTCACAGGTGGTGGCGTTTTCGCAAACAAACAGAAAATGATATTTCGTTACGTTTCCACACGACCCTTTCCATTGCCTTACCCGCGGTAAGACTTAAATTAATATGCAAAGCACTGAGGAAAAAGACGAGCGATATGCAAAGAATTAGAGAGAGAGAGAGAGAGAGAGAGAGTGAGGAAAAAAAGACAAACCTTACTTACATCGGCGTCGTTTTGTTTGCAAAGGGATGAACGAGGATTTTGACATTTGAGCCGACGGGGTTTAAATTAAAATAAATTTTCATAAGAAAAGAATTTTTTTTTCCCCCCCCCCCTTCTTTCGAAACGTCTTAACTCGCCTTCTTTATTTTTTCCTTTTTGTTTTTCCGCCCCCCACTCTCTCTCTCTCTCTCATCCGCGCCTCTCCCTGTCCTTGTTTGTATGCGTGCGTGTGTGTGTGTACACAGAAAAGAAAAAAAAAGGAAAAACTTTTTTTTTTTTTTTTCGTTTTCCAAAGCGAATAATTCAAACATAACAAAAAAAAAAAAAAAAAATTAAAAAACTCGTTGGAAAATATCCTCGTCGATTTTCCACAGCTTATTTCGTTGCTTTTCCATCCTCGGGCATTTTAACCTTTTAATAAGGAAAAAATAAAATAAAATTTCTTTCTTTTTTTTGTTTTGTTTTGAATTATTTTTGAACCAAAAAAAAAAAAAAAAAAAATTTTCATTTCGTTCGTACGCCCCTCCCCCACCTTTCCCCTTTTCTTTCTCTCTCTCACAGACACAAGAGCTACGTACATTTTTTTTTTCTTTCTTTTTACAGACTTCAGTTCGATTTTTCATTTTCCTCTAACTTTTTCATTCCTTTCGGCTATATACTCAGTTAACAACTGACCCTTGGCTGCTGTTGCTGTTGTTGTTGTTCACTTCCACCACATCGTCAAACTTACCCCCCCCCCTTACGGCCTTACGTTTTAAACTTTTAAAAAAAGCAATTATTGAGATTTCAATTAAATTTAGTATTTTTACAAATTTACGAATTCCACTTCCGGAATTTTATTAAAGTTCAACCGGACCGGAAGTAAATCTCCCATCCATCCCGTTTAGAAAAAAAAAAAAAAAAAAAAAGAGAAAACTTCATCCGGGTTCGGCATGCATGGAAACTCACATTAATCATTTTTCGATTTCATTTCGAAGAAATACGATAAGAATTCGCCATATTGAAAAATCCTGAACGGAACCTTTTTCTCTCTCTCTCTCTCTCACTCTCACTCTCTCGACTTTTATACTTTACTTTATTGCCTCCTTTTTCAATTTCGACAAATCAAATTCGAGCAAAAAAAAAAAAAAAAAAAGAAATTCGATAAGAATCATCCTTCCATACTTCCTTCCTTCCTCCCTCTTGTTTTTCTTTTCTTTTCTTTTATCCCCTCCTCCTCCCCCCCCTTTGAGAATGGCTTTCTCCTCATACGTTTCTAAACGGATTCACAATAAAAAAAACACCTCGAAGGTGTGTGTGTGTGTGTGCGAGGGATGTTTTCCCTCCCGGATAACATCGTAAAAAAATTAATAATAATAATAATAATAATAATAATAATAATAATTTGAGTAATAAAAAAAAAAAAACTACCCGAGACCACCCGCCGAGTAAAAGTAACATAAAAAAATTAAAAATTAAAAAGGAAAAATTTCAACCCATTAATAAAACCATTTAATTAATCGTTGATATTTCAAATACGTGATTTGGATTAACTTGAATTTTTTTTTTTTTTTTTTTTGAAAACCCCCCAAAAAAAAAAAAAAATTTTCCTAATGCGTGTAATTACAATAACGTTAAAATTTAAATAAACGTATTTCGCTTGATTACGGATTTTAACGGACGTTTGAGGGCATCATTATTATTATTATCATACACATTTCATTTACTTTCGAAAATCGTTCTCTCGAAAAAAACGCGGCGGCGGTGGGGGGGGGGGAGAAATCGGAGGAGGGGACGCGGCAACGCTTTTCTCCACGACTTCCTTTAAGAAAGGAGAAGAACATGGGGGGAGAGAGAGAGAGAGAGAGAGAGAGAAAGAGGAAAATGCAAGACGTAAATTTAATTTTACTCACCTGTTACAGGTGCCTCTATATCTATCATAGTTCGCTCCGAACGGAGGAGAGCAGCTCCTTCGTTAATTATTCTAAGGGCTGCACTTTCATCTATTCTCCCTTCTAAAATAAAATGTTGCTTGAGCACGTCCGGTTTGGGTTTACCCGTTCGTGTGTCGAACACTTCATCTGTAGTTAATTTATGACTTGGAGGAAAAGGTACACCTGAAATGAAAATGATCATAAATAAAATGACGATTCGTAACCGGAAAAATCAAAAAATGTGAGAAAATTTCATTTTCCACGTCGGGAAAAACGTCCCGGCACGACGCGTCAAAACAAGTCGATCCGGATCCGATCGAAAACTTATGACTTTTTTTTTTTTTTTCCAGGACAAAGCACACGTCCGAACTGTCCGCCGTTCGGTTGATATTTCGGTCGTGTACGTAATTCGCTTCTTCGTTCCCAGGAGCGAGTGGTAGGTAAAAACCCACCGGAAATAAAATATCGACGCATTTAAATATATAAATTGATATGAATGTTTCTCGACGGTTTCAAAACTTCTCAAATAACGGCAAATTTCCTCCGCTTCCCTCCCCCCATCTCTCTCTCTCTCTCTCTCTCTCTCTCTCTCTTTTCCCGTTTTTACATCACGTTCAAAACTTTTTGTTTTACCTCGAGGACCGACGTTGTTAAGCGTTACGATTCTCCTATCTTCCCTTCCCTTTCTTTCCTTTCCCTTTTCCCCCCCGCCCCCGGGATAAAAAAAAATTTTTTTAAAGTACGAACGTTCCAAAAAACTTAAACGGGAATTGATTGATCGATTATGACCCGTTACGCGGCCCCCTCTAATTAAGTCTTTGAGGTACTCGAATGAAAACCGATTATTAGCCCTTCAATTACTGTTAAAAACAAGGTGTTAATAATAAATATTTAACGTTTTGTTCTATCTCTCTCTCTCTCTCACACATCTTATTTGTCAATGAGTTAGTAAGTAAGGTATCCACTAAGCAAGCACAAGCACACCTTCTTATTATCATCATATAAATAAATATTATTACCAACGGTCACCGCGAGCAGTATTTACGTTTATTATTTGTAAATTTCGAACGAAGAAGGGCGGTGGGCGCGGCGAAAATTCGCATATCACTTCGGTATATGTACACAATAATGAAAATGCAGGGGAGAGAGGGGAGGGGAGAGTGTAAAAAAAAAAAAAAAACAACTTGAAACCCCGTTTCGCGGTCGGTTCCGCGGTTCGTTCTAATAATCCGATCCTTTAAATCCAATCACCGATTCATTCCTACATTCATTCACTCATTCAAGAAGAAGAAGAAGAAGAAGATGAAGAAGAAGAAAAAGGAAAAAAAGGTCATCATAGTGGGTTTCTGAACGCACCACCTTTTAACCAAGAACGAAAATAACTCGACCGAAGAATTTGTAAATTAATTAAAAAAAATTTTCCTCATAATTTTCCCATTTTTTCTTCTTCTCTTTCTCTCTTTCTCTTTCTCTCTCTCTCTCTCCCCTCTCCCCCCAATTTTTCCACAACTTTTTTTTTCTTTTTTTTTTTTCAATCTCTCGCACTTATCATCATCATCATCATCATTTTTTTCCCTTCTTACAAATTAATTAAAAATAAAATAAAAGTTAAATTTAATAAGCAAAGTAAAAAAAAAATGATGATGATGATAATAATAATGATGATGGGTAAGAAAAAATTTTTAATTGAAAAAAAAAAAAAAAAGAGTGGGGAGACCGTCGGGGAAATTAGCGATGAGAAAAAGGAAAAAGAAAATTTTATCTTCTTTAAAAAAAAAAAAAAACTTTAGAGCTTTATACCTTACCATCCCCCCCCTTCCTCGCGGTGAGTGATTATTAAGGCGCGGCGCGGTTAATCGCGGTTTCCGATGGCCGGAAACGTCACGTGGTCGCTTAGTGATAAAAAATACTACTTTCCCATTGTTTAATTTATTCTACCTTTCAAATTTTCCTCCCCTTCTAATTTTTTTCAATTTTAATCCTTTAGGGGGGGAAGGGAGAGGGAGGGAAAAGAATCTAAATAATTACACTCCGTTATTGTTGCAAAACGGCCGTCGGATTTAAAATAAAAAAAAAAAAAAAAATAATAATAATAATAATAATAATAATAACAATCACACAAAGTGACTCATCGACTTTTTCCGCCCCCCCCCCCACTTCCCTTTTCCCCCATTCACCCCACAGGTGGTCAATTCGAACTAAAGTCAATCATTCAAACCTATAATTTTCCCTTCCTTTTTCCCTTCGAAATCATAATAACATGTCATTTAAATGTATATGAAAATAATAATAATGATAATGATAATAATAATAATAGTAACAACTTGCTCCCGTAATGTTTATCATCAATTCTGGTTATTAAAACTAGATTAAGAAATCTTTTAGTAAAATACCATTATTATTAAAAAAGAAAAAAAACAGAGAGAGAGAGAGAGAGCAAAAAAAAAATGACGTGGAATCAGAAAAAATGTTTTTTTTTTGCGTCATTCGCAACAGATGAACAAACGACAAAAACGGACGAAAATCAAAACATGTCGACTAAAAAAAAAATGGCGGAATCGCCATTTTTTTTAGTTATTGTTTCGTTTTCATTTTTTTATAAAAATCACACACTTTCTCTTTTTCGATTTTTGTTTTTGTTTTTATTTCCTTTTCCGTTCGAAAACGATGGCAGGAAAAGCTGAAAGGTGTAGCTAGGGAGGGGGGAAGTGAGAGAGTGGAAAAACGAAACAAAACAAAGCAGAAAACAATAGAAACGTTTTTCGAAAACAAAGCGCATCCGTTTTTTTTTTTTTTTTTTTTTTTTTTTTCATTTCTTATTCAAACGATCGAAAAAATGCATAAAGCCCCCCGCCCCCATTTTTTCCCCATTTTATTTTCCTCGTTCGTTGTTTGCACCAATTTTCCCTTCGTTCAACTTATTATTATTATCGCGAAAAGAAAAGCGAGAGAGAGAGAGAGAAAGAGTAGGTTAGGGACTGACGTCAAAAACAAAAACGTGCCTCTCCGACTCCCTTCCCCTCTCCTTCCCCCCCCAATTAACATATCATTCTCGGGAATATTTATTGCCGTCATAATAAATAATAAATAAAAAAAAAAGAAAATTTTTTTTTTTTTTTAAAGAAAAGATAAGTTTCACGCGAACAATGTCGGCTCCTGATTAACCGTCGAGAGAGAGAGAGAGGGGGAAGAGGGTGTAAAAGGAGGGAAAGAGAGAGAAAGAAGGAGATGAAAAAAAAAAAAAAATTAAATTAAATTATCGATAGCTCTAGCTGAACTGATTAAAACTTTGTTCGTTAAAAAAAATTTTTTTTTTCTTTCCCCCCTTCCGAATTTTTCCACTTCCTCTCCTTTCGATGCCTCCCTCTTTATTTTCCGCATACAATCATTTTTATCAACCCGAGAAACCCCCCCCTTAAAACCCAACCCTTAAAAAAAAAAAAAAAAATTTTTTTTAATCCGAGACCTAACGCTTTCGATGTAAGTAAAAGAAAAAAAAAAGAAAATTTTCTTTTCTACCTTTACGTTTGACTGATTTTTCCATTTTCTTTTTTTTTCCTTTACGCACTCACATCCTCCCCCTCTCTCTGTCTCATTCATTTAAAGGCTTTCAATTAGAATAATTAATTTTTTAAAAATTTAACTCGAATCCGTTTTGGTTTTTTCTCTTTCTCTCTCTCACACTCTTTTCCTACTTTAATTGATTTGACATTATCCACTCAAGTTAATCCGAATAAATGAAAAGGTTTTTAAAAAAAGGGGGGGGGGAAGTCGGGGGGTAAAAGATTTCCACAAAAACACCGCACTACGAAAAAAAATTTTTTTTCTCTCTTTTTCGCGGTTTTTTTTCTTTTTTAAATAATAATAATAATTCGAACGGAACCACCCCCTCAAAAAGAAAAAACCCCGGGAAAAAAAAGAAACGTGGGAAGGAGGAAAACTCTCGTCGGTTTGTTTCATTTTCCGAGTAAGTTTCGTAAAAAGAAACAAATCAGATGAAACACGACTGACAGATTATTGTTCCAAGTGTCAACCCTTCTGCGTTTGTCGTTTGTCGTTGTTTAATATTATTATTATTATTATTATTCTTTTAATGGCAAACCGTGGACATTTTCCGACAAACAAGATATTATATTTTCTTCGTGTGAAAAACAACACTCAAAAAAAAAAAAAAAAGGTTGTTCCTTGTGGGAAAAGTAAGTAGAAAACTCAAGATTTTTTTCCCCATTTTCCCCCATTTTCCCATAACCCTTTCGATTTTTCCGATTCGAAAAAATAATTTTCTAGAAAAAACGAAAAAATTGGCAAGTTCGCGAGGATGTCGCGCGTTTTTTTGCTCTTGTTATTATCATTATTATCATTATTATTATTTTTTAATCCTTTTCATCGCTCTTTGAACTGAATGATTTCTGGATAGGCCAATTTTATAATCCGACCAGAATTCTCAGGAGGCAAACAAAAAAAAAAAAAAAAAAAAAAAAAAAAAAAAAAAAAACAGAAAAAATTTGAAATTTAAACGTCAAAAATAAATGAGGATTTCAAAAGATTAACTTTTAAGCAGAGAGAAAATCACGTTTTCTCCTTCTCCTCCTTCCCTCTCCCTCCGAACCCTCCCTTTTCTTTTTTCATTCTTAAAATTTTCCGAAAAAAAAAAAAAAACAATTTGATCGTTTTTTTTTTCACTAATGATGCTGCGCTTAATGAGAAACATAAAAAAAAAAAAAAAAAAAAATCGATTCGCCAAAACGAAAACAACCAAAAGAAAAACATAAGCAAGGATAAAGGCGAACGTTGCGAATGCGTTAAAAAGAGAAAAAGAAAAAGAAAAAAAAAAAAGAGAGAGAGAGAGAGAGAGAAAGAAGGAAAAGGAGAAGAAGAAAACAAGCAAACTTTTTTTTTGTAATTATTTATAATTTTCACAACGACATCGAATCAAATAGCCTCGCCGCCATTTTTTCTTTTGTCTTTTTTTTTTTTTTTTTTTTTTTTTTTTTTTGTGACACGCCACGAGCTACCAAAACGAGCTAATGCATTTTTTGGAACAATTAACAACCCGAAGAAAGAAAGAAAGAAAGAAAGAAAGAAAGCTACAGAAGAATAAAACGGGGAATGGGGAGGTAGGGGGGGGGGAAAAAAACAAATTTGAAATTTCTTTTTTTTTTTTTTTACACACACACACACAC